AAATTAATTGAACACGTGAAATCCATCCAGTTCACTTTGGAGCTCCATTAATATAGAAAAAATACAAGACAATTTGCTAAATGCAATATTATAAATGGACCCAAGTCTAACAAAAGGTAAAATTGAGCAATTACAGATTATATAGAGACAGATTTGGACCCTTTTCCCAACCAAAAAAAAAAAAAAACAAGAAAAAAGGAAAGCAAAGCAACAAAATTTTCTTTCTCTCTTCTAGTACACAGTATTTTCACACCATCAAATAACTTAAATACCAACTACAAGTCATCAGTGGTAGCGCAAAAAGTTTATACACTAAATCTAAGAAAGTATTCCATCTGTTCATTTTATATGACATACTTTTTTTCTTAGTCTATTTTTATATTTGAAAAAAAACATTAAACCTTCAATTTTAACAGTAATGACATGATTTTATAGTCATACAACTGTTTATGGCATATTTTAGACACAAAGTTCAAAAGTTTATTGTTGTTTCTTAAACTACATGCCCACCCAAATACTGTCATGTTACTCACAAGTGGCGCAGCCACATAGATGGAAGGGTGGTCAACTGAACAAATTATATTGTGTATATAAAAAATTATATTGTGGATATAGGTCAAACAATATTTTTATATAAACAGGCAGCCCGGTGCATTAAGCTCCCGTTATGTGCGGGGTCCGGGGAAGGGCCGGACCACAAGAGTCTATTGTACGCAGCCTTACCTTGCATTTCTGCGAGAGACCGTTTCCACGGCTTGAACTCGTGACCTCCTGGTCACATGGCAGCAACTTTACCAGTTACGTCAAGGCTCCCCTTCAAACAATATTTTTTATATGTGTATATTAAATTTTAAACACCCTTCGAAAAATCGATGTTACTCACATAAAATGATATGAGGGAGTAGTATATATATGTCTCACCGTTAAAACCAGCCACTACTAGCAGATTCAGAAAGAGGGACGCAGTACATAGTTTAGTTGGTGGGAAGCCTTCCATCTTTTTGGCCATTTCGCCAATCAAAAGTAAAACCAAATGCTTGTGACCATATCTGGTGGCTTCAATGATAGGATATGACCCAACTGTATCTTTTGGAGCTTCAGATGATGCTTCATCCCATCGAAGAAAATTCCCCGCTGCTTCATAATTGCCAACCATTGCAGCCATACAAAGAGGTGTATGACCATCTTTGTTACGTATTGTCAGCACAGAGAAATCAATACTGGGATTATGATTTAAATAGCAAAACCATTTTCCAGCACCAACAAGTACGTGAAGGGCAGTATCGCCATTTCCTGTTATCTTCATAGATAAGGATCTTGAAACGGCTGCATTAGGTCCTAAACCTGGCCAGAGAAGTTGAGCTTCTCTTATAAAACTACTGTACTCGCCCCTCTGTGCTGCACGGTATAAGGGCAAGCATTTCCACTGCTGCTCCTTCTCGCTTCTGCTTGTGTCGTCATTTGATTCACGGACAAAGATATTTTAATTTTGGAATTTACAGTTAGACCTATCTATAACAGCATTCCTATATAACAACACTTCACTATAAAAGCCAAGTTTTTTCCGGAACCGATTTTCATGTTATATTATAATATATGTTCTCTATAATAACATTATCTATAACATCCAAAGATATTCGGAACAAACGAAGCTGCTATAGTGTTAGAATAGGAAGAGAGATTTATGGAATTTTCTGTACACTTGTCCTATTTGTATTAGCCTAAATATAACTACCTATAACAGTCTATTATTCCTTTTCTAGAAGCATCTATTTATGTACAGCTGTATGCATAAAATTAACAGGTGTGCTAACACTAATCTGGCGGCTGTGGTTTAATCCATCAAGCTTGTGATCAATGTCCCTGATGCAGCTACGTGTATCACCCTTCTCCACACACATAAGTCTTACACATTTCGATATATCCGATGAGTTTGTCTGAGACTCTTCTTCTTTCTTCTTTTGTTCTAAAACTTCTTCTTTCTTCTTCCGATCTTCTTCTTTGATCAAAATCGATGCAGCTTGTGACCTGTGTTTTCTTACATCCCCTCTCAAGTTGGAGGGTATAGAAATTACCCCCAACTTGGTAACAACTGAGTGATGAGAAGGGCCAGAAAGAGATTTGGTAAATATATCGGCAAGCTGTGAAGCAGAAGGAATATATGAGAGTGAGATGAGGCTGGAAAGATACTGTTGACGGACGAAATGACGGTCCAACTCGACATGTTTCGTCCGTTCGTGAAACACTAGGTTTCGAGCGATGTGAATCGCCGATTTACTGTCAGAGAGTACAGGAACCGACAATAATGGTGTAATAGAGAGGTATTCAAAAAGGCGAGTGCGCCAAGTGAGCTCTGCAACAACACGTCTCATGGATTTGTACTCTGCCTCGGTTGATGATAGAGAAAGGGAAGCATGTTTCTTTGATTTCCATGAAACAAGGGAACCACCAAAAGAAATGTAAAATCTACTAACAGAACGTCGAGTTTCCGGGCAAAAGGCCCAATATGCATCAGAGAAAGCAAGTAATTTGAGAGAAGGTGCTGAGTTGAAGAAATCCCTTGCCCTGGGTCAGATTTAAGGTAGCGGAGAACATGTATAGCAGCAATATAATGGGAAAGTCTAGGACTTTGCATAAATTGGCTAAGTTTGAGTACAGCAAATGATAAATAGGGACTCGTATGAGTTAAATAATTCAGTTTGCCAACAAGGTGCCGATAAACAGTAGGATTTGGAAGAAGAGGACCATGATCTGCATAAAGCTTGGTAGAAGGCTCAAGAGGGAAGCCACAGTAGAAAAATCAGAGACATCAAACTCACGCAACAAATCCGTGTAAATTTTCTTTGACAAACAATGATCCCTTGTTTTTCTCTGATAATCTCCATACCTAGGAAATAATGTAGATTTCCCAAATTTTTGACTTTGAATTCTGTATGGAGAAAAGTTTTGATAGCTGCAATTTCTGGTAGATTATCTCCACTGATGAGAATGTCATCCACATAGACGGCTATAATAGAAATAAGATTCCTGTCTTTCTTGAAAAATAGGGAGTAATCATTTAATGAAGCAGTATACCCTTTGAAACTCAAAGCACCAGCAAGTCGAGCATACCATTGCCATGACGCTTGCTTTAGGCCATATAGGGACTTTCTAAGTAGACAGACATAGTTGGGACTTGGTGGGCATAGTCCAGCTGGAAACTTCATGTAAACCTCCTCTTGGAGAGTTCCATGGAGAAATGCATTACTTACATCCAATTGATGAATTTGCCAGCCCTTTTTGGCTGCAATTGCCAGTAGACACCTTATGGTGGTCATATTGACCACTGGTGAGAAAGTCTCGCTGTAATCTATGTCTTCTTGTTGAATGTCTCCTCTGACCACCAAACGTGCCTTGAGTCTTTCTATTATCCCATCAGAGTTATGCTTTACCTTGTACACCCATTTGCAAGGTAAGGCTTTCTTTCCAAAGGGCAGTAAAACCTCATCCTATGTGTGATTGGCCTTTAAGGCTTCAATCTCTAAGTCCGTGGCTTTCTTCCAACCAGGGTCCAAAGAGGCTTGAGAATAGCTGCAAGGTTCTGAGATTTATGAAATTAAATTCATGATATGCTGATTTTGAGGTGATAGAGCTCCAAAAGAACAGACCTGAGGTTTAGGAGGAAGAGCTAGACAAGAGTCAGCTAAATCAGTTAGAAAGACATGACTGCACACATAGTCATTAAGATGGCTTGGCAATCTGGATTCCCTAAAGGACTTCTAAGCACTGGTGTGTTATGGGATTCAAATGTAGCTGGTCTAGGTGATGAATCAACTCCAGGATAGATAGGTGAGGTAGGATTGTGAGAATTGATATTGCTGCTAGGTGATGAGTGAAGAGAAGGAGATTGAGGTGTATTTGTGGTAGGTGAATGAAATGACTCAGTACTAGATTCTGGAGGTTGAGGAATGGTGTTACTATCTTGGGGAGAGGACAAAGGAAAGATAGTATCTGGGGATGAAGAAGAATTAGATGTGAATGGGTACTTGTCTTCATAAAAATGAACATCTCTAGACACAATTATTCTCTTGGTATTTAATTCCAATAATTTGTATCCCTTCTGTCCTTAGGGATATCCCAAGAAAACACAAGCTGTTGCCCTTGGGTCAAACTTTCCTTCCATTAGATAAGGTAGAGGCATAACACAAACAACCAAAAGTCATGAGATTGGTATAATCGGGTGGTTGGTTGAAGATTATAAAATATGGTGTCCTACCTTTAAGAACTTTAGATGGTAGCCTATTAATCAAATGCAGTTAACAAACATTCTCCCCAATAAATAATAGGAACCTTGGATTGAAATAATAGAGCCCTAAATTTTCAGCAAGTGTCTATGTTTCCTCTCAACAATCCCATTTTGTTGAGGAGTTGCTACACAAGATGTTTGGTAAAGAATCCCTTGAGAATGAAGGAAAGCAGACTCTTGAGTCCCTTTTCCAAGCTCAAAAACATTATCTGTTCTCAGCTTTTGAACTTTAACACCAAGTTGTCTTTCAATCATAACCAAAAAAATTTCAAGACTCCAAAGGCATTGCTCTTGGTGCTCAAAAGAAAAGTCCAAGTTCCTCTACTAAAGTCATCTACCACAGTTAAGAAATACTTGAAGCCATTATGAGTAGTGACCTTGTAAGGACCCCATATATCCACATGTATTAATTCAAATGCTCTCTTAGATTTAATCTCACTTAAAGGAAAAGGACTTTTAGTTTGCTTAGCTTGAGGACAGATATCACAGAAACATTCAGTATTAGAAGGAAAAGAGATAAAATTGAGATGTCTCATTGATGAAAAGGGAAATGCCCCAATCTACAATGCCAAAGACTTACATCAAAAATTGCATTTGCAGTAAAAGGAAAAGAAACTGGAACTTGATTAAAAACATTCTGTTTTGAAGATGAAACTACAAAGTCTTTAGACCTATCCTTAAAATTGGTAGAATTAGGCTCCAATAGGTATAATCCCTATCTTGCTTCACCAAAAACTTGAGCCCTCTTCAGTAAAGAGGCCTGCAACAGACATTTCCCAGAAGAGAATGAGAGAATGCAGAAAAATTGTGAACAAAACCTGTTAACTGATAAGAAATTATACCTGAAACTAGGGACATGAAGAACATTTTCTAAGACATAATTAGGTAGAATAGAAATCCTCCCTATGTGAGTGACAAATACTTTAAAGGAATTAGGAAGATTTATGTCTAAAGGAACAGCTAAGGGGAGACAAAGAAATGAAAGCATTTGAATCAAAACACATGTGTTCTGAAGCCCCTGAATCTATAATCCAAGTTCTTGAATTAAAAACTAAGAAACATGATCCAGAATATTTGATAACAGTACCGGCCACAGTATTTGCATTGATTTCTGAATTTGAACTGCCTGTATCTGCAATTTTGACTTGCTTGATCAGTTAAATTAGATGAGAAAACTGATCCTTTGATAGATGTTGATTCATCACCTCCTGTTGGTTGTTGTTGTCTTCTGCTTGTTCCCCTGAAATGACAACATTGCTTCTGATTCCACCTTGAGTTGTTCTTGGATTTGTAAACTCAAAATTATCTGGGAACCCTATGATTCTGTAACAATCATCCACTGTGTGTCCTGTTTTCTTGCAATAAGTACAAGAAACATTAGGATTAAACCTAGTTCTCTTTCCCTTAGGATTTGGTGATTTCTGTGGTGCATATCCAGATCTTGGGGCTGGGGCAACATTGTTGTTCCTTTGAAATTGTCCTGAGCTCTTTTGTTTTCCATTTCTTAGTGAGAAGTTACCTTGACTAGTGAAATTTGCCTGACTTACCACCATGAAAGATGAAGCATCAGTAGAAATGAGAGGATTAGCATATACCTCTCTCTGATTTTCATCTTGTAAAACCAGTGAATAAGCATGATTGATGTTAGGTAAAGGACTCATCATTAGAATGTTTCCCCTGGCTTGTCCATATGCTTCATTCAGTCCCATGAAGAATTGAATGAGCCTTTCATCCTCTTGTGACTTTTCCAGCATCTTTTTACCCTCACAAATGCATGTACATGTGCATTTCACATTAGAGTTCAGTGAGTCCAATTCATCCCATAGTCGTTTGAGTCTAGTGAAATAAGATGCTATGTCATTTGTTCCCTGAGATAATCCTGATAATTCCTTTTGCAGATGGCACAATTTGGCACCATTGGATTGGCCAAATCTGTGTTCTAAGCTAATCCACAGATCTCTAGCAGAATTGGAGTATATGACACTGTCTCCAATATCTTTGGACAAAGAGTTTAGTAGTCAGGATGTAACCATATCATTGCACCTTGACCAAGGTTGATAGTCCTTGGAAGTGATAGGAGGAGGTGCAACTGTTACATTGATGAAGCCCGCCTTATTTTTGGCTGAAATGGCTATGAGAATGAATCTCTTCCATCCTTGAAAACCTTTCCCATCAAAGACAGCATTGACGAGGCTCATTCCTGGAGCATCAGAAGAATGAAGGAAGAATGGGTGATTGAGATCAACGTTGATCCCATTTCCAGACGAGGTTTGAGCTGGAGGAGTATCAGTAGAGTCAGGCATGATGAAAGGTGTAGATGACTGATGAAGATGATTTCAGAATACCCAAAATCGAGCTAGATTTTCTCTGATACCATGTTAGAATAGGAAGAGAGATTTATGGAATTTTATGTACACTTGTCCTATTTGTATTAGCCTAAATATAACTACCTATAACAGCCTATTATTCCTTTTCTAGAAGCATCTATTTATGTACAGCTGTATGCATAAAATTAACAGGTGTGCTAACACTAATCTGACGGTTGTGGTTTAATCCATCAAGCTTGTGATCAATGTCCCTGATGCAGCCACGTGTATCACCCTTCTCCACACACATAAGTCTTAGACATTTCGATATATCCGATGAGTTTGTCTGAGACTCTTCTTCTTTCTTCTTTTATTCTGAAACTTCTTCTTTCTTCTTCCGATCTTCTTCTTTGATCAAAATCGATGCAGCTTGTGACCTGTGTTTTTTTACATATAGAGAGGTTTGACGGTATATATACATTTTTTTTTTTGTCTCGAGCTTTTTGTTTTCACTTTTAAACCTTCGACATTTTGGCGATGGCAATTGAAAAGGACTTATGGTGGGGGTGGGGAGGGGGTAATATTATCATTCTGATAACTTTATCCAGATATAACTATGTGGAATAAATAATACTCCCTCCGTTTCAATTTAGATGATATAGTTTGACTTGGCACAAAATTTAAGGGGAAAAAAGAAGATTTTTTAAATATGTGGTCCTAAAAGTTAAAGGGGTAAAAGCTTTGTGGGTTCATGTATTTGTGTGGCTATAGAAGCTTCTCATTAAGGGTAAAGTTGTAAGAGAACACAGGTCTTCATCGAACTTTCTCAAAGAAGAAGAAAGGAACTTGAATTAATTTTGTGGATATATGGGGACCCTATAAAGTCACTACACATAATGGTTTCAAGTATTTCTTAACTGTGGTAGATGATTATAGTAGAGGAACTTGGACTTTCCTTTTAAGAACCAAGAGCAATGCTTTTGGAGTCTTGAAGAATTTTTTAGTTATGGTTGAAAGGCAATTTGGTGTTAAAGTTCAAAAACTGAGAACAGATAATTCTTTTGAACTTGGAAAAGGGACTAAAGAGTCTGCTTTCCTTCATTCTCACGGGATTCTTCACCAAACATCTTGTGTAGCTACTCCTCAACAAAATGGGATTGTTGAGAGAAAACATAGATATTTGTTGGAAATTGCTAGGGCACTACTATTTCAATCCAAGGTTCCCATTGTTTATTGGGGAGAATGCTTGTTGACTGCCACTCATTTGATCAATAGATTGCCTTCTAAGGTTCTTAAAAGAAGGACATCCTATTCTGTACTTTTTAACCAACCACCTGATTTTACCAATCTCAAGACTTTTGGTTGTTTGTGCTATGCTTCTACTATATCTAATGGAAGGGATAAGTTTGATCCAAGAGCCACAGCTTGTGTTTTCTTGGGATATCCTTTAGGACAGAAGGGATACAAATTATTAAAATTGGATTCCAAAAGAATAATTGTCTACAGAGATGTCCATTTTTATGAAAACAAGTACCCTTTTATATCTAATCCTTCACCTCCAAATACTATTTTTCCCTTGTCTTCTTCCCAAGATAGTACCACTGTCCTTCATCCTTCAGAATCTAGTTCTGAGCCATCTCATTCACCTACCACAACTACATTTCAATCTCCCTCTCACCCAACATCACCTAGCACCAATGTCACTCCTCACAATCCTACATCACCTATTTCCCCTGGAATTGATTCATCACTAGTTCATCCCTTACCTAGACCAACTGTATCTACCCCACATAACACACCAGTGCTTAGAAGATCATCTAGAGAATCCAAATTGCCCAATCATCTTAATGATTATGTGTGCATTCATATTTTTCTAACTGACTCTTGTCTTGCTCTTCCCTCTTAGCCTTAAGCCTGCTCTTTTAGAGCTTTGTCACCTCAAAATCAGCACCTCATACATTCAATTTCAGAAATTTCAGAACCTAGCAGCTATTCTCAAGCCTCTTTGGACCAAGACTGGCAGAAAGCCATGGACTTAGAGATTGAGGCCTTAAAGTCCAACCATACATGGGATGAAGTTTTGCTACCTACTGGAAAAAAGGCTCTACCTTGTAAGTTGGCGTACAAGGTTAAGCATAACTCCGATGGGACAATAGAAAGACTTAAAGCACGTTTGGTAGTTAGAGGAGATATTCAACAAGAAGGCATAGATTACAGTGAAACCTTTTCACAGGTGGTCAAGATGACCACCATAAGGTGCCTACTGGCAATTGCAGCTAAGAAGGGATGGCCAATTCATCAATTGAATGTAAGTAATATTTTTCTCCATGGCATTCTCCAAGAGGAGGTGAAGTTTCCTGCTGGACTGTCCCCACCAAGTCCCAATCATATGTGCTTACTTAGAAAGTCCCTGTACGGTTTGAAGCAAGCGTCACGGCAGTGGTATGCTCGACTTGCTGGTGTTTTGAGTTTCATAGGTTATACTTCTTCATTGAATGATTATTCTCTATTCTTCAAGAAAGAAGGGAATTTTACTTCTATTATAGCCGTCTATGTGGATGACATACTCATCAGTGGAGACAATTTACCAGAGATTACAGCTATCAAAACATTTCTTCATACAGAATTTAAAGTCAAAGATTTAGGGAACATCCATTATTTCCTAGGTATGGAAACTATCAGGGAAAAACAAGGGATCATTGTCTGTCAAAGAAAGTTTACCATGGACTTACTGCGTGAATTTTATATCTCTGATTCTTCTTCTATGGCTTCTCCCCTTGAGCCTTTTGCCAAGCTTCATGCAGATCTCGGGCCCCTTCTTCTAAATCCCACCATTTATTGGCATCTCGTTGGCAAATTGAATTATTTAACTCATACGAGACCTGATTTATCCTTTGCTGTTCTCAAATTTAGCCAATTTATGCAAAGTCCCCGACTTTCGCATTACACTATTGATATACATGTTCTCCGCTATCTTCAAATCAACCCAGACCAAGGGATTCTCTTTAACTCAGCACCTTCTCTCAAATTGATTGCCTTTTGCGATGCAGATTGGGCCTCTTGCCCGGAAACAAGACGCTCTATCAGTGGATTTTACATTTCTTTTGGTGGATCCCCTGTCTCATGAAAATCAAAAAAACAGGCTTCTCTTTCTCTGGCTTCAACCGAAGCGGAGTATAGATCCATGAGACGTGTTGTTGCAGAGCTAACTTGGCTTACTGGGATTTTTGAAAATCTTTCTATTTCACCATCCTTACCGGTCCCTATACTTTCTGACAGCAAATCAACGATTCACATCGCTAGAAACCCCGTCTTTCACGAGCAAACGAAACACGTCGAGTTGGACCGCCATTTCGTCCGCCAATAGTATCTTTCCGGCCTCATCACACTCTCTTATATTCCCTCTGTTTCACAGCTTGCCGATATCTTTACCAAATCACTTTCTGGTCCTTCTCACCACTTGGTTCTTCCCAAGTTGGGGGTAATTTCTATACCCTCCAACTTGAGGGGGGATGTAAGAGAATACAGGTCTTCATCGATCTTTCTCAAAGAAGAAGAGAGGAAGAAGAAAGCAGAAGAGTCTCAGACACAACATTCATCGGATACATCAAAAGTCAATAGACTTATGTGTGTGGAAAAGAATAAGACACGTGGCTGCATCAAGGACGTTGGTCACAAACTTGATAGATTAAATGACAGTCGTCCAGATTAAAACTTGTACAGCTGTTATTTTTGTAGATGCTTCTAGAGAGGAATAAAAATCTGTTAGAGGTAGTTATACTTAGCTAATACAAATAGGACAAGTGTACAGAAATTCAGTTCTTTTACATTTTATTTTTACATAGGATATTTGTATATAAACACTATCTTGGACAGAGATCAACACACAGAAATTTCCACAATTCTTTCTCCTAATCTTTCAAAAGTAGGTAAAATGAAAAGTTTAAAGTTAAATTATTTTCAATAGAAATATGCCATTCTTTTTTAAATTAAATTATTTTCAAATATAAAATTATGTCATTCTTTTTGGAACGGATAAATAAGAAAATTATGTCATTTAAACTGAAACGGAGGGAGCACCAAGAATTTGTATAAAATTCATGGTCGTTTTACGTACCAGGATTCAGAGTTGGAGGTTGGTAAAAATTGGAGTTGTTTGAGCTGGCCTGAAATGGCCGTGAAGACGACGTCATACCACTGGAATGCAGTAAAGAGGTTCGTTCTGCAATTGTCACGCCAATTCAGATAATTTTAATAACGACCAGCAACCTCCAAAAGTCCAAAGTTGACTTGACTTTTACATAAATATCAAATAAGACTTTTTTATTATTATTTAAAAAAAGACACAATCGAATTTAGAGCTTAGTCAAATCATAGTATTGTTTATAATATGAATTCAGATATTGATTCTTTAAAATTATTTTCAATCGAAGTTATGATACAGTGAAACCTCTCTATAACAGCATAGTTTGTTCTAAATATTTTTTAATGTTATAGAGAAGTGCTAATATAGAGAATATATATTATAACATAACATGAAAATTGAATCCGAAAAAAGTTTGATTTTTATAGTGAAGTGTTGTTATATAGGTATGTTGTGTTGGACTTTAAAGCATTGGGCTTCAAAGACTTTAAGCATTGAGCTTTAAAGTCTAAGAGTGTGAATTGGAAATGGTGGGAAATAAAATGGAGGGAAATGAAAATTTGAATGAAGTGAGCTTTTGTCTTGAACTTTGTCCCTCATTGGTGAGGGACAACTACATTTGTGTGTATATATATAGAATCACTTCTTAAAGCTCTTAAAAGGAGTTGAAGAGAATGAACCCTCGCGCCTTCGTCGCTCGGCTCGGCTTCGGCTTCGGATTTGTCAAATGATCGATAAGATTATTTTTGGACAAAATTTATTTAATTAATTATTTAATAATTAATTATATGTCAGTTAGTTAGCCGCGGTAGGACCGCGCCAGAACACTGCTGCAGATTCAGAAGGCCACTCT